TTTATTCACACTAGAAACTTTAACTCCGTTCTAGGCCTCACAAAATGAGAGCTGTGTCCACACAAAGCTGTAACAACTAGCCAATTCACTGAAGCCAATGAAATAAGCCAATTCACTTGGGGGGTGGAGGGTGGGAGGACACACGCACACACACACACAAACTGTCAAACTCGTTACTGGGTGCCTTATAGACCAAACAATGCGTGACTGAACTGGTTTGCTTTTCAATAGGTTGTCCTGTCATGTGGTTGCTACAGTGAAAGATTTTCTTTATCATTCTATGTTGTCTTGTTATTATTATTATTATTGTATACACAAAAATAATAACACACCAGATAAAAGGATAAACGGCCAATAATGTCTTCCTGTTAAGCTCATGGTCAAACACACCACATTTAGCGAACAGAGCTGGCCCCAAAGACGCATTTTGTGAAGCTAGGCTCCCCCGGCCTGTTTCTTGGCTTTAAAATAGGACCCTGCCGGTCCTGATCTCATCTTTGCAAACGCATGGCACTGGGAGACAGAGACCATGCGCAACAAGAACTCTTCGCAGACAAAGCATCTATTCATGGACCCCACTGAAGTGCAAGCGTAGATTTCCAATTTCATTCAGCTGAGTGCGGAAGGCTCCCACTATGAGGGTGGGTTGCTAAATGGTTCAGCTGGGAAAAGGACCTGGAATGAGAGTCAGCTTCACAGTCTGCACTTTCGTCAGTGGAAATGAAAGTGATTCCCTTCACCCTGACTCCAGTTTTACAGTAAGAGCTAATCTAGCAAATGAGCCAAGGGTGCTGGGCAATTGCTCTATTTCTAGATTGCATAGCTTTTTTTCGTTAGGGCAGTTGCTAGGGTAAGTGTGGAGAAGGTAGCCAAGAAACACCTAGGGTTAAAATCTACACAAAAGGGGACAATGTGGGTCCCTCAAATCCTCAGTTAGACCAGACCAGTTTTTTCCTTTCCTTGAATACAACATGCCTACTTTCACCTTCAAGCCTTTCCTTACATCATACCATTTCTTCAGTTCCATTCATTTTTCAAAGTCTAGTTAACTGATGGGTAACACTTACCCAGAATGCAGTATGCTCAGTGGTTTCTGGGCATTATCTCATTTCATTTCTCACGACCACATAGGGAAGGTGCTACTACTGTCCTCCCCGTTTTGCAGCAGGGATGCAGACACGTGAATCATGTGCCCAAAGACCCAATGAGGAAGTAGAGAAATTGAGATTTGACTACCAAAGACTGAGTTCCTAATCACTACACACTATACTACTTTGAGGTTGTTGGCTGTCCAGTGGTAGAATTCTCACCTTCCACGCTGGAGGCCTGGGTTCAATTCCCGGCCAATGCACCTCATTCGCAGCCACTACCTGTCTGTCAGTGGAGGTTTGCGTGTTGCTATGAAGCTGACAGGTTTCAGCAGAGCTTCTAGACTAAGACAGACTAGGAAGAAAGGCCTGGTGCTCTACTTGAGAAAATCAGTCAATGAAAACTCTGATCACAACAGATCGTGGGAATGGCTCAAGACCAGGTAGCGTTTCATTCCATTGCACATGGGGTTGCCATGAGTCAGGGGCCAACTCAACAGCAGCTATCAACAACATACTACCTTAACCACCCCCTCCAGCCCCATAGACTCTCCACACTGACTTCACGCAGCTCTCCCCAGGCCAACCACCTATTTTCAGTAGCTTTGTAGGTCTTGCTGCCCCAACTGGGCACTAATGTCTGGGCAAGAAGGGTCTGTCTCATTTCCCAATGGTGTCTGGCATATAGGAGTACCAAGTATGTTTTCCATTACCAACTGAAACTGGAGTGCTTGGCTGCCCCCTAACTACAAATAAGTATTATATTGCTTTGTCATGCCAATAAAAATCAAAGGCCAAATCCCTCACGTAGGGGCTGGTTTGGCATTCTCTGCCCCAGTGGTAATCTTGCTTTTCCAGTAAAACAAGTGTCAGTCTGTGCTCTTAGTGGCAGCAATTTTAATAGGAGACTTGCCCCAGCAGTGCAGTGAAAAGACTCAGGGCTTTGCTTATCTCTGCATTAGGATGACAAAGCAGCTCCTCTCAAAGCAGCATTTTCCAAGGCAGGAAAAGACAATTTCACCTTTTATTGCCCTTTCCAAAGGACACTCCTAAACTGACTTCTGGCATGCAATTAATTGCTCTTGGGCCAGATGTATCTGTTTTTATTTGACTTGAAGAGGTGTGGCCCGCGTAACTAAAGATAGCCGGAGTGACTCCAGCGACCTGGGGTAAGGCAGTCCTAGGTTAGGAAGTGCTCCTTACCACCAAGAGCACAGCTATCTGAGATGCTCACAGTAAGCAGCTGGTTTCCACTGAGCCTATGTGTGTGTTCTTTAAAGCATGGCTTGTTTGGGAACGTGTCTTAAAAACACCATTTTCAACAAGTATTAAATATGTAGCCAAAAGTCAGGAAAATAGTTATAATTCACAGTGTGCTATTATGCCACCTTCCTAATTCCCAGGTGTGCACACACCCCCACAAATGAGAAGACTGTCAGCATTTAGATCAGCTGTTCTGGCAACAGCTTTCCGTGGAGTGGAGGAGGAAGAGGAGAAAGCCAGATTTTCAAAATGTTTGGATTCCAGTATTGTTAAACAGGAGAGCTCTGGGAAAATACTAGAAGGCAGGTCAGGCCCATTTTCTGGCTTCCCAAATGAGGACTATTCGCAATGGGTCTCTTCCCACCAACGTCTGGAGAACAAAATACGAAATGTAGATGAAGGAATCCAAGCGGAAAAATAAGCAGAGAAGAACTCAAAGAGGAAGGGAAAAATGCTTATGACATTGATTAACATTTAGCATGGAAGGGGAGGGGGCCGGGGAACATAACACACACAGATACTGTCTCACCCTTTCTGACACTGTACAGGTAAGAAAATTCTGCATGCTCCTGGCCAATGGTTGCTGGGGAGTACTTTGCATGCAGCCAGGGAAGTAGATACATTTTCCTCAAGGGCCATGGCACCCTGTTCCTCCATCTCCAATGGCTCTCTTAACCAACACGACTACAGAACCTGCAGAACTGTTAGCTCTCAAGACAGCCTGGACTGCAGATCCTTCTCATTTGGTCTGTCTTGTAACCTAACAAGCCCTGGTGGTGCAATGGTTAAGCACTCGGCTGTTAACTGTGGTCCAAACCCACCAGCTGCTCCACGGGAGAAAGGTGTGGCAGTCTTCTTCTGTAAAGATTCCAGCCTTGGAAACCCTATGGGGCGGTTCTAGTCTGTCCTACAGGGTCACTAGGAGTTGGAGTTGGCTAGACGGCAACAGGTGTGTTTTGGTTTTGTAATAACCTAAGTTTTTGGCAACCTTTCTTTCCGGAGGTCCTGGAATACTTTTAGACAGGAGACTTGTATTCTCTGCTATTTTATGGAAGGGAGAGGAGCAAACGCTTTCAATGCTGAGAAAACATTCTGTGTATCACCACGCTGGTTCGTTGTTGTTGGGTGCCATCACGTCGATTTCAACTCATAGTGACCCCATGTGATAGGAGTAGAACTGCCCCATAGGGTTTTCTAGGCTGTAATCTTTATAGGGGCAGATCATCAGGCCTTCCTCTGGCCGAGCTGCTTGGTAAGTTCGCACTTAACTGAGTGCTTAACCATTGTGCCGCCAGGGCTCCATGCTGGCTTAGGGATATTACACAACATGGTTCAGTGGTGGCATCTCACCAAGATGTCCTTCTCTGAAACACAAAGAGAACTTCCTCTGCTAAATGGGGACAAACCAGAGTAAGTTGGGAAATACTGTCTCTATCTCAAAGCCTAAGCCCAGGGGACAGAGTGCTGCTTACAGAGCTGTGCCTTGCAAACTGTAATTCTCCACAAGACAAGAGACTTCAGCTGCTGCTGCTGCTGCTGCACTGGGAATATTCCTTCTTCCAACAGAACAGGCCTGCCAGTTATCATGCATGGTTTATTTTTTTGCCCCTTCCCCTCCCTGCCCTACTTGTGGTCCCTACATAAAACCCAAGACTCTTGCTGACCGCAATAGTGACTCACTTAAGGCTAAAATAATGGAAACAGATGCACTCCAATTTCACAAACACCCGACGGGTTTATAACTTCCAGTGGCAAGATTCTTACTTTTCATTTATGGACTGGAAGCCCCTTCACTGGTTTGTGAAATGATCATTCAGCTGTCCACTCCCTATTTTCACGCAAATAACACACACACTATGCCAGAACTGCTTTACTTAATTTCATCGTTTCTGCACGTTATACGTGCGGGCGCATTATTTACACGGGAACGTCAATTGCGAAAAAATACGGTTATCTAAAATGCTGCAACCTTCACAGATCACTTTTGTTGTTGTTGTTTACCCCGTGTACAACAGAATGAAACACTACCTGGGTCTGGGCCATCCTCACAATCACTGCTATGTTTGAGCCCACTGTTGCAACCACTGTGTCAAGCCATCTCCTTGAGGGTCTTCCTCTTTTTCGCTCACCCTCTACTTTACCAAGCATGATGTCCTCCTCCAGGGACCGGCCCCTCTTGATAACATGTACGAAGTATGTAAGACAAAGTCTTGCCATCCTTGCTTCTACCCCTCCTTATAAACAAAATGTATGCTTCACAGCAGGAGATTGAGGCACGCAATTCTGGATTCCAGTGTTTAAGGGAAGGAAGAGGGAGTGTATCATTATGGGCTTGGCTACTTGTCAAGACACTAATGAGTCCTACTATAACTCATTTTGGTAATTAATTAACTATTGTTTTGGACAAAGGTATCTCAGACTCTCCAAGGTCCTGACTACTTGAGAGCTGCCAACAGTAGCTAGACATTGCTAACTTTTTTACGCTCAAAGAGTCAACAAACACAAACACACACACACACACACACACACACACAGTACTTTTTTACCAGAATAAGTTGTCCTTGACCATCATCATCAATCACCGAACTCTCATAGAGACACTGTACAAGTTACTCCCATGATTATGACTCATCCCTAAATTGGCCTTACCTTAGTGTTCCTCCTTAGACTGCGAAGAATATTCCTCCTCCTTGGGTCTTCGTCTGTTTCGTATGGAATGACGGCATTGTCCCCTTTATAACCTTGGGATGCCTGATCCTCCTCTTTCTTCCGGATGGGCCCCAGCTCGTCATCACTCCCCACGCTGAAGCTGGTTCGGTAACTAGCAAACCTCCCCAGGCGGGTGCATCTCGTTCTGTACAGCACGGGCTTGCTCACGATGGACACCTTGCGGCCTCGCTCTAGGGAGCTGGTGTCCATTTCACTGTCGGAACCGTTACCGCTGCCGTTGGACTGGGCTTTGTTGATGTTCCGAATGGTGATGATTTTGCCTTGGGTGCTGTCGTGGGGCACTGAGTAGATGTTTTCTTCTTCGTTCCTTGGCTTGACCACAGCATCCATGGGTTCAGCATAATCAGAAGGATCAAACCCATCCAGAGGTAGCCAGGTGCTAGAAGACACAGACTTCCTCTGCCCATCTCTATGACCTTGGTCTAAATAGGACAGATCCCCCTTTGTGATTTCAAAATGGACAGGAGGCTTTGGTTTGACTGGCGGAGGTACTTTGTTGTTTAGTTTACTCTCAAAGTTGCTCATGAAGAAAGACAGCCCGTCGTTCCCCTCCAGTTCCATAGAGAGCTTGGAATGGTCTTTGGACAGAGAGGGTAGTGACGTGTCTTCTCGAAACAGGCTATAAGATGGGGGCGGCTCAATGTCCTCTTCAGAATCCTGCAAGTTTGAGTTGCAGAGAGGTGAGCCTGCCCTGGGAGAGTTGAACACCTCTTCCGTGGTGCTGCACGCTTCAGCAGCGTTATCGTACATGTGCGTAGCCTCGATGATGTTCTTTTTCTCCACCACATCTTTAAAGAAGGGGTGAAAGAGCTCAAGTTTATGCTGGGGCTGGCTACAGGGGATGCTTGTGAACCTTCCGTCGATTTCTTGTGCAATCTCCTCGCCCTCAGTCAGCTGTTCCCGACTTAAATCGTTGTCCAGGACATCAACAGCGCCATCAGTGAGTGCTACAAGCTGAATGGGGATAATATCCTGCACTTCACAAAGAAAGGCACGTAACATGGCCAAGGAGGCCTTACGTTTGGCAGAATAAAAAACAATGTACCCATGAACCAACCGGCTTTTTCTGATGCTAAATGAGGAATGGTATGAAAGGACAGACAGTTCAATGCGCTTCTTGTGTAGTCCGATTGGCAGTTCAAGTAAAACAGAGTTGTTGCTCCCACAATGGGAGGACTTACAGGTTTGGGACTGAAGGACAGGAAAGAGTATGTCATCTGCACTAAAAGGATCTCCACACATCAGACACATAACAATTCGCAGATCAACGTCAGCCATATCTTTGATGCTAGCAGTAGAACTGACCAGGTTTAAGTTACGCTTAGAGTCCAGGAGTCCTTTCAAAACTTGACTAATTTGCTTTTCATTAATGTTGCGTCCATAGCCAATGCCAGCAGAGGCAGGGTCGAGAAAGACACACTGGAGTTTGCTCGCAATCTGCTGGCCTTGCTGTATTAAGCTATGCAAGGACTCTCCACTGGTGTCTCCTCTCTTGTTAACCAAAATTAGCGTCAAGGGAAGGTGGACCAAATGGTTATCTCGCCTGCCGAGCGTGGACTCTCTACTCTTCTCTATACTCTCCACCACGTAGGACAGAGATTCCTTTGAATTGTAGAGGCAGAGACAGCCATGGGGCTGAAATGTTGGCGTCTGGAAAGAGTTCACTGGAAGCCGGACATTACCCTCGATGGGCCTCAAGGAAAGCTCATACATTTTACCATCTATCACATACTTGTCATCATTTGTACAAAGAGCTCGAATCTCATTGGCCAACTCTCGGGCAAGGCCATCTTTGCCCAAGATAACCAAGTTGATCCTATCAATGCTGGAGTCAGAGAGTGAATTTTTCTGATTCCGGTCAGACGGTCGGATAAACCGAGAACTAATCAACTGCTCGATCTTAGCATCCACACAGGCTGGGCAGCTGGGGCACGTTTCCTTGGTTGGGTGGTAGACAAAGTGAATGTGCTTCAGAATCAGGGCATCGCGCTCCGCTTGGAGCTTCTGCAACGCTTTAAATCGCTGCTCCTCCCCCAGGACGTCCTGAATGACACCCATCTTTTCTTTGCTGGGCTTTGCGTCCAGCTCCAGCTCATAAAACAACTCGGAGTATTCCAAGAGCAGCTCCTGAAACCCCTCCTTGGCTCTGTCTATAATTTGCTTTTGGTGTTTGCTATAAATATCCATGTACACAGACTCTTCCAGCCACTGGTAGAAATCTTCGTTCATAATAAAACTGCGGGCCTCTTCCCAAGGCTTGCCAGGAGTTATGAAGGGAGAGGTCTCCAGGTTTTCTTTAAACGCCCTTCTCATCTCGGCTCTTTTCCTCTCGTTCCTCAGCTTTTCTAAGTGGGACTCGTACAGCTGCTCCGCGGGGACTGTATCCATGATGTCAAAGGGAATCCGCTCGTTTTCCATGTTGTCAATGTGGCTCGTGGCGTCCCATGGCGTCTCTTCAAGCACAACAAACCACTTTAAGAATTCTGGCTTGGTTTCCAAGAGCTTTTTTGCTTTTATGCAGCTTAGGTGGTCTATTTCATCTAGATTGGGTATAAGAGCTTCAAAGGCTAGCGGCAGGGCGGCCAGGTATAGCTTTCTCCGGCGCTCAATGTGCTCATGCTTGAGGCGGTGGATGTGCTGCAGAAACAGCTTCTTGGCTTTCTGGGTCCCTTCCAAGTAGACATAGTCCTGGTACTCTGGCGAGGCCTGCATCTTTCGGCTGACACTCAGCCAGTTCTCATTGTGGTTTTTCACGATGCGACTCACCAGCCACTCATATTTGTCTTTTGCCGTCGCGATCTGCTGACTCTGCTGCTTGAGGGCTTCAAAATAAGGAATGATTTTTGTCTTTCCCCGACTTTTATCGATGAGTTGCACTAAGGTGCTGAAGGCCAAGTCCACGTTCACGTTGGATCTGGCCGAGGTCTCCACAACCTGGAGGTTCTTTTTGCTTAAGGCGAAAGTATGTGCATCTCGAATGTACCGCTCGACGCCCTCGTCACACTTGGTCAGGACCACCACTATGGGCTTTTTTGTTTTTGCAAGCTGATTGTAGAGATTGGAGACAAACTTGAGCTGGTCATCAAAGTTCCTATTCATGCCCCTGCTAACATCAATACCAAGAAGAAAACCATCCACCAGCAGCTTCCCATCTGGCATTTGCTTCTGCTCAAAGTCCTGCTCCAGCCCCAGCTGGTCAGTGCAAAAGTACATGAGTTTTTCGGCGGATGCGAGCTTGGTCGCAGCAGCTCTCTTGATATAGGGCTGCAGGGCCGTGCTACGATGAGGTTGGAAAGTCTGGTCATCAATAAATTCAGTCTGCTCCACAATATGCATTTTACATTCCACACAGTCCTCCAGGGAACGGCTGACTTCTCCCCAGTAGAGAAAGTGGTCATTGTTGACCACTCGCCCACCAAAGTCACTGGTGCTAAGGACAGAGGTATGGTCCAAGTGGAACTCATCAGCACTGGGGCGGACAAAGCGGTTACACAGACAAGACTTCCCAATGCCGCACTGGCCCTTCTCCTTCTCGGTCCCAGACAATCCCACCACACTGATGTTGTAGGTGGGAATGCGGACATCTTGCTTTCTTGCCATCATCATCGTCGACACATCCTGCCACAATCAACCACTTCCGAGATCAGATTAGTGTTTTCCAGTGGACCTGAAGGCTTCCCAACATCATCAGTGAGGGCTGACTGCCAGAGCAGCGAAGGTGTCAGGTCCCATACGGCTTGCACACCAGCACAAGGTCAGTTTTCGCTGTCTCTCATCGCCAAATAGCCAACATTTCTTCCTACATGGGGGGAAAAAAGGAAACCTATCAGCATCATAATTTTAAAACCCAATTATAATTACTGAACTCTGGCAAAAACCTATTTTTTAATTCCACAAACATTTAGTAAACATCCAATGTGCCAGATCGTATGTTGGGTGAAGACATAACAGTGAATGAGACTGTCATCCATGTACCCCAAAGAGTTATAATCTCGTGGAGGAAGATACATATGTAAACAGTGTGCTAAGTGCTAAAATAAGGATGTGAGGATTCCCGCTGGCCAAATCTGGGACCATTTGCACACCAAAACAATGAAGTACAGTAATGAATTATAAAAGAGCCCTGTTGGCGCAGTGGTTAAGCATTCGGCTGCTAACCAAAAGGTCGGAGGTTCAAACCCACCAGCTGCTCCACAGGAGAAAGATATGGTCTACTTCTATAAAGATTACAGGCTTGGAAACCCTATGGGGCAGTTCTACTCTGTACTACAGGGTCACTGTGAGTTGGAATCAAATCAACGACCAGTTTTTTTGAAACGGAATGAATTATAACCCACTGGAAAAAACAGGAATACAAATCCACACACTGGATAAGGCAAGTATCATCAAAGGATGCTAAGTCTGGGGGGTAAATTTTGATGAAGAGCAGGATATTTGCACAGAATTCAAGTGTTTCCCAAGAGACTACTTGTTAGTTGCACAAGAGAGAAACAAAACAAACAAACAAACAAAAAACCCAGTTATTATACAGAGAAAAAATCATACAACACTTTGGCCAGGTGCTCAAAATAAGCATCACCAGTAACAGACAGAAGGACATCCTGCGCCTCCAGCTGTGATCCACTGAGGAGGAAGCAGCACTGCTATGGAGTATTACAGCGTGGAATGCACAATCTCAATGGAATCAGAAGGAAACATCAGATAAACACAAAATTAGGAACATTCTATTAAAACAGGGGGAGGAGGCTCTGCATTTTTCAAAAAATATCGATGTCATAATAGACAAAGAATGGCTAGACAAATGTTCCAGATTAAAGGAGACTCAAGAGACATTGTAGCTAAATGCAATTATCTGACCCTAGACTGGATCCAATATGGGAGGGGGTAAAGGCCTTAGGATGTTTTCTCGGAAACAGAGCAGTTAACAACATAGGACTATGAACGGGATACTAGATAAAAGAATTTTGTCAATATAAATTTATGATGTTGATCACTATGATGTGAGAGAAATACACACTAAAATATTTTGGGGAAAAGGGCCGTGACGTATGTAACTCGTCTAGAACTGGTCCAGAAAAAAAATTATGTATATATGCTGAGAAAGCAAGCAAATGAGGTACAATGTTAGTGATAGGTTAATCTGGGTAATGTATAGGAGTCCTGGTGGCACGATGGTTAGGTTCTCAGCTGCTAATGAAAGGTCGGCAGTTCGAACCCATCACTTGCTTGCTCCTCAGGAGAAAAATGTGGCAATTTGCTTCTATAAGGATTGCTGCTGTTGTTAGGGGCTGTGTCAAGTCGGTTCCACCTCATAGTGACCCTATATACAACAGAACAAAACACTGCCCGTTCCTGCATCATCCTCACTATAGTTGCTATGTTTGAGCCCACTGTTGCAGCCACTGTGTCAATCCATCTTGTTGAAGGTCTTCCTCTTCTTCGCTGACCCTCTACTTTACCAAGCATGATGTCCTTCTCCATAGACTGGTCCCTCCTGGTAACATGTCCAAAGTACATGAGACAAAGTCTTGCCATCCTCACTTCTAAGGAGCATTCTGGCTGCACTTCTTCCAAGACAGATTTGTTGGTTCTTCTGGAAGTCCACGGTATATTCAACATTCTTCTCCAACACCGTAATTCAAAGGCATCGATTCTTCTTCAGTCTCCCTTATTCGCTGTCCAGCTTTCACGTGCATACAAGGCAATTGAAAATACCATGGTTTGAGTCAAGGGCACCTTAGTCCTCACAGTGACATGTTTGCTTTTTAACACTTTAAGGAGGATTTCTGCAGCAGATTTGCCCAATGCAATATGTCATTTGATTTCTTGACTGCTGCTTCCATGGGTGTTGATTATGGATCCAAGTAGAATGAAATCCTTGATGTCTTCAATATTTTCTCCATTTATCATGATGTTGCTTCTTTGTCCAGCTGTGACGATTTTTATTTTCTTTAGGTTGAAGTGCAATCCCTACTGAAGGCTGTGGTCTTTGATAGTCATCAGTAAGTGCTTCAAGTCCTCCTCGCTTTCAGCGAGCAAGGTTGTGTCATCTGCATATCGCAGGTTGTTAATAAATCTTCCTCCAATCCTGATGCGCCATTCTTCTTCATATAGTCCAGCTTCTTGGATTATCTGCTCAGCATACAGATTGAACAAGTGTGATGAAAGGATACACCAGACGCACACCTTTCCTGATTTTAAACCACGCAGTATCCTCTTGTTCTGTTCGAACAATTGCCTCTTGTCTACATACAGGTTCCTCCTGATCACAATTAAGTGTTCTGGAATTCCCATTCTTAGCAATGCTAGCCACAATTTCTTATGATCCACACAGTCAAATGCCTTTGTGTAGTCAATAAAACACAGGTAAACATCTTTCTGGTATTCTCTGCTTTCAGCCAAGATCCATCTGACATCAGCAATGATATCCCTCGTTCCACATCCTCTTCTGAATCCGGCTTGAATTTCTGGCAGTTCCCTGTCGGTGTACTGCTGCAACTGCTTTTGAATTACCTTCAGCAAAATTTTACTTGCGTGTGATATTGATATTGTTCGATAATTTCCACATTCAGTTGGATCACCTTTCCTTGGAAGAGGCATAAATATGGATTTCTTCCAGTCGAGTGGCCAGGTAGCTGTCTTAGAGATTTCTTGGCATAGATAAGTGAACACTTCCAGTGCTGCATCCGTTTGTTGAAACAAATCAACTGGTATTCTATCAGTTCCTGGAGGCTTGTTTTTCACCAATGGACTTCCTCCTTCAATACCATTGGTTCTTGATCATATGCTACCTCCTGAAATGGCTGAAGATCAACCAATTATTTTTGGCATAGTGACTCTGTGTAATCCTCCTTCCATCTTCTTTTGATGCTTCTTGCGTCATTCAATATTTTGCTTATAGAATCCTGCAATATTACAACTCAAGGCTTGACTTTTTCTTTTAGTTCTTTCAGCTGGAGAAACACTGAGCATGTTTTTCCCCTTTGGTAACTCTAGGTCTTCACAAGTTTCATTATAATATTTTGTCTTCTTGAGCTGCTCTTTGAAATCTTCCATTCAGCTCTTTTACTTCCTCATTTCTTCCATTCGCTTTAGCTAATCTACATTCAAGAGCAAATTTCAGGGTCTCTTCTGACATACATTTTGGTCTTTTCTTTCTCTCCTGTCTTTTTAATGACCTTTTGCTTTCTTCATGTATGATGTCCTTGATGTCATACTACAATTCGTCTGGTTTTCAATCATTAGTGGTTAATGCATCAAATTTATTCTTGAGATGGTCTCTAAATTCAGGTGGGATATACTCAAGGTCATACTTTGGTGCTCATGGACTTGTTTCAATTTTCTTCAGCTTCAACTTGAACTTGCATATGAGCAATTGATGGTGTGTTCTGTAGTCGGTCCCTGGCCTTGTTCTGACTGATATTGAGCTTCTCTGTCATCTCTTTCCATAGATGTAGACGATTTGATTCCTGTGTATTCCACCTGGCGAGGTCCACATGTATAGTCGTAGTTTATGCTGTTAAAAAAAAGGTACTTGTAATGAAAAAGTCGTTGGTCTTGCAAAATTCTATTATGCGATCTCTGGCATCATTTCTATCACCAAGGACGTATTTTCCAACTACTGATGGTTCTCTGTTTCCAAATTTTGCATTCCAATCACTAGTAATTGCCAATACATCTTGATTGCATGTTTGATCAATTTCAGACTGCAGAAGTTGGTAGAAATCTTCAATTTCTTCATCTTCGGTGTATAAATTTGAATAGCAGTCGTATTAACTTATCTTCCTTGTAGGTGTATGGATATTAACCTATCACTGACAGTGTTGTACTTTAGGATAGATCTTGTAATGTTCTTTTGACGATGAATGCGATGCCATTCCTCTTCAATTTGCCATTCCCGGCATAGTAGACCACAACTGTCCAATTCAAAATGGCCAATGCCAGTCGATTTCAGCTCACTAATGCCTAGGATATCGATCTTTATGCATTCCATTTCATTTCTGATGACTTCCAATTTTCCTTGATTCACACTTCTTACATTCCACGTTCCAATTTATCAATGGATGTTTGCAGCTTTTTCTTCTCATTTTGAATAGTGCCACATCAGCAAATAACGGTCTCAAAATCTAGACTCCATCCACATCATTCAAGTCGACTCTGCTTTGAAGAGGCAACTATTTCCCAGTCATCTTTTGGTGCCTTCCAACCGGAGGGGCTCATCTTCCAGCACTATACCACACAATGTTTTGCTGCTATTCATAAGGTTTTAACTAGACAGCTTTTAGAAGTAGACTGCCAGGTCCTTCTTCCTAGTTTGTCTTAGTGTGGAAGCACTGCTGAAACCTGTCCACCATGGGTGACCCTGCTGGTATTGAAATACCAATGGCATAGCTTCCAGCATCACAGCAACATGCAAGCCAACACAGTACAACAAACTGACAGATGAGCGGTGGCTGTTAAAAAAAAAAAAAAAAAGACTAACACCTTGGAAACCCTATGGGGCAGTTCTACTCTGTCCTATAGAGTTGCTACAAGTCAGAATCAATTCGACGGCAACAGGTTTTTATGCTGTTTTTATTTTTGAAATTTTCTGTAAGTTCACAATTACTTCCAAACAAAAAGTTTTCTTTTAAGGATGTGGCTGTGGGATGTTCTCCCTGACAAGAAGGTAAGCTCTGTGAGGATAAGGCCTATACCTGCCCTGTTCACTTCCGTGAATCCAGCTTATGGCCCAGTGCTTGACACAAACATTTACTGAATGAATGAATGGACAGATAAGTGACTCTTCGAGCATATATT